AGACTCTAAGGCAGGTATGTGTAAGTTAAAGTTATTATAAGTTATTGTTGAATTTTCATAAATCAATACTTAGGAAACAATACTAATGAATCAAAAGCTCGTCCCCATCCTTTTCAAAAATTCGAAACTTTCTTCCTTCACATCCGATCTGCACATGCTTATTTTGAAAGAAGACATGCTTTCTAATGGTACCTGAGGCACTTTTTGATAGCTCCAAAGGTAGAAGCCGGTGAAGAAAATTATTCTATTTCAATATTCCCCATGTGTGGTCGCAAAAGTCTGCTTGCAGAAAATTGGAGCATTCGGTTTCATAGCTAATATTACCTACTCTTTTTGAGTGTACAAGATTGCGCTGACTGAAGGTCTCATAAAAATTCTTGCTCTTTGAGGAAGCCGTAAAAAAGAGTATATATGATTTTTTTGGCATTTGCTTCAAAAATCATAACTTTTCATAAAGAGGTTATTAGCGCAAACTTGGCACAGTCAGAAAGAGCAGGCTATAAAACCTATAATGCTCCGATTTCCGTTGCGAGTTTCAGTTTTGCGACTAAACGCAGAAATTTTAAGAATGGAGTAATTCCCTTCTCCTGCTTCTATCTCTGGAGCTTGCTTCCGTTAAAAGGTACTTCAGGTAGGTACTGTTGGAAACGTGAATTTGAAAATAATTATGTGCAGATCCGTTGAAGGTAGGAAGTATCTGGGAGAGAGAAAAGCATTTAAAACAACAAAACAGAGGAGCAGAGAAGGATAAATATATTAAAGCAGTGGCGGTGCAAGAAACTTTTTCAGGGGGAGGGGGACAAAGAATTATTTGGGTTTGTGGGCGTGAGCCACCGAACAAAGGGCAATTTAGGAATGGTTGAATTTTCGTGGTTCCAGTTTTTGTATGCCCTCGATTTTTTTATAGCAAAAATGGGCGTGGAGTGAGCCACACCTTCGAAAATTGCCTAAACAGACTACTTTAGAGTTTAGAAGAGCTGATCTTTCATTATCTAAAATCGCAGACTACTATGAATATTCTTGAGACCCATTATGCTCCGCCCCTTTCTTTTGATATATTTCTACCCACATTATTTCTATTTTACTCAATCACTCAACACTATTATTTAAAAATTTCTCGAGCTATGATTTCAAATCATAAGTTTTGAACTTTTTTATCTTGAATCAAAAATTATTATTTTGTGATGTGTGCAGTGTTGTGAGAGGAAAAAGATTTGAAAATCAAAAGCAGAGAGTAGAAAAGGATAGACACACGAAAAGCAGTGGCGGCGCGAGAAATTCATTTGAGGGAGAGGAGAGAGGGATTGAAACTTTTGGGTTTGTGGGCGTGTGGCCACTTCCAGCAAAAAAAAAAATTCAGGAATGGTTGAACATTTGCGGTTACAATTTTTGTACCACCTCAATTCTTTTTAGCATAGCTCCTTCGAAAATTGTCCACAACTATTAGGTGGTTAAGTACGTTCGCCACTCAAAATTACGTTCGCCACTTTTTCAAAAAATCATAATTTTCTTTCGACTCGATGGATCTCTTTGATTTTTTATTCATCGGAGAGGAAATCATTCTCTTTACAGCGATATCTCTGCCATAAATTGGCTCAAGAAAGTGCGCGAGTTAGAAGCAATTGAAGATTACTCAACTTGGCATTTTTCAAGCAGGCTCACCAAAAAATTCTCAAATTTTTTGATAGAAAATTTTTTTCGATAGAACAAATTATGTTCTTTACTATAGTGCCTTTTCCAAAAACAGAAAAGATTAAAATTAGAAGCAAATAAAGAGAACAAATACTTCAGTTTTGCATGCTCAAAAATGCCCAAAAACGTCACAGAAAAGACGGGTTATTCATGAACATAGGTTTTGTGACCTCCTTCTAGCTGACAGAAATTCGTGCCAATCGAAAGCAATTTTGATTTTCGTAGAAAATCAGATTCGAGAACTCGGTAATATTACGAAAATCAAAATTACTCTCGATTGGCACGAATTTCTCTCAACTAAAAAGAGAAGGTCACTAAACCCATGTTCATATGGCTTTCCCGTCCCTTCCGACGCAGAACTGAATTAATTCTCTTTATTTGCTTCTAATTCCAATCTTTTTTGTTTTTGGAAAAGGCTATGGTAAAGAGCATAGCCTTCTCTATCGAAAAAACTTTCAAAATTTTTTCGTGACTCTGCTTGAAAAATGCCAATTTTGAATAGTTTTCTTCAGTTGCTTGTAACTTTCAAACTTTCAACTTTTTTATGCCAATTCATTTGCGAAAGTACTGCTGTAAAGAGAATGATTTCTCTTTTAGATGAACATAAATTCAAAGAGATCCATCGAGTCGAAAGGAAGTCATGATTTTTTGAAAAACTGGCGAATGTACTGGTCCCACCTAATTTAAATCTGAAAATTTTCCAAAATATTTCAATATTCACCAAGAGCTTGTAAATCACTTTGAGATTTCGGTGACCCATTTTTCTCGCCCCCCCCCACCCTTTGTTTTGATATATTTCTACCTAATCACTTCTGCTTTATTTAGATCCAGTGCATATTTTCTACAAAGTAATAGTTTTAAATTACTTGCATTATTATTTTAATCAAAGCACATAAAGCAAATTCGCATACTTGAACAAGGGCGTTGTGCTCACAAAGTCCCTCCATTGAGTCCTTTTCCAGCACTCCAGCAGCTTGGTGATTGTTGTTCACACACCTGCACCGATGCCTGAAAGAATACTTAGAATATGGATGGGTATAGGTTTACTTACGCCAACACTGAAGAAAGAAAGAAAAAAGAGAAAGATTAGAGGAGGAACAGAAGCGAAACAGTATGGAAGAAAAGAGTGCGCTATGCGCTGTTGATGTTGCGTTCGCTATTTCGCAATCGCGAATGCATGCGCCCTCAAAGTCCTGCGAAAATGCTGGCAGGTCAAAGTGCTGCGGAAACCTTACGAGCCTCACTGCACTTTCGCAGCGCTTTATGCAAAGTGCTGCGGAAGCTCCGGTTTACGATCGCTGTGACGTCAATTTCCTGCGGAAACCTCGCATTTTGGAGCGTGCACTTTCTCAATGGTTAAGAAAGTGCTGCGGAAACGCTGCAAGTTCTGCTTGTCCTGCGGAAGTTCCGGTGAATTGTCTGAGAGGGTTATCCGCAACGCTGAATCCGAAAATTCACACTGGAGAGCGCGAAAACGGCGAACAACGGCTCTAACACAGGAGGGAAATCAGAGGTGAGCGGAGTTTTCCCCACTGTGAATTCGCTCCCTGCTTCCTAAGCGATCTTGTCGGTTTCGATTTCAAGTCATGCGTTCGCACTTGGCCGATGGAGATACCAGGACGGCTAGCGAAATTAGCGAAATTAACTTCGCCTCGGACGCTGGGAGCGCGAATTCACAGTTGGGAAGACCCCTCCCACCTGCTGATTTCCTTTATGCCTTAGAGCCTTTTTCGCCATTTTCTTCTAGTATGGACCTTTCGGATTCAGCACAGCAATAGACCCAGGTAAGAACGAACCTTCAATGACGACTTTTTGGCTGGACATTGCCTATAACCAAAACATACCATGCACATATATCTTAGTGATCAGTCTGACTACTCCAAACCTGTATCCGTGACTACAATGACGAGGGGAGTCCCCCGTTATGGAAGGACCGCGGGCGAACGCCGCTGCGGCTTTTTCATCATTGGGGCCGTCCCTTCACCCCGAGGACGTTCATGCATGCAGGCCCAAAAGTTTGTGGAAATTGTTATGTTGACCCTCCATCGTATTCACATCGTAAACCTTACGCTGGAAAATTATTTTGAATGCAATAGAGAGTGAGTTGGTTATAATCTGCATTGATTCCGTACTTTGCTAGCTAACTTTCTCGTTTACCTAGCATTACTTATAATAACGGGCTAAGGGTTGTTTGCGTGTTTTAGTGTGTATGTGCGTAAGTCTGTCTGCAAGGAATTCGTACAGCAAGTTCCATCCAAGCTCTTGAGCCCATTTTTTTGCACAAGACATGCCTCTAGCATTCTGGTTCTTCATGTGACAGTTGCAAAACTTACAAGGGAACCGTGTCGAGTCGCAGTGCCCCTTTCCAGATGAGACCCATACTGCTTTGAAGAGCATTAATCAGTGATTCCCAATCTGCTTTCCAAATCTGCCAAGCGCCTCTGGATGCCGAGTTATGCTCGTTTTTCAGGTCAAAAATTGAACGCAAAACTGAAGCAAAATCGCCCAAATTTGCTCAAATGGTCCAGTGTCAAGTATCAGAGCTGTTTATGCAATGGATACATTTTATTTAATATGCTAATACCTTAACGTTGCTTTATTTAAGCGCTGGAAGACTGTAACAATCAATTTACCTAAATTCTGCATTCATTTTTCGTTCTGAAGAACGGTCATAACTCGGCGTCCAGAGGCGCTTGGCAGATTTGGAAGGCAGATTTGGAATCACCGCTTAATACGCTTCAAAGCAGTTTGAGTCTCATCTGGAAAGGCCACTTCGACTCGACACGGATTCCTTGTTAGTTGTTTATATATTCATATAATGACCAAAGTGTGAACTCTTTGTTGCAGAACTGCTGCATTTAATCTGATCTGAGCTACTAAATCATCTATGTAAAGTCGCAGGGCTTCTTTGACCTGTATTGTTGTCTATTGTGTCTATGTAGTCCTTCCTAGTCGATTCGTATGTGTTTATGTGGTGTTTTAATGGTTTTACTAGGTTTGAATTGTTTCGTGTCGGGACCACGCGATCGGGCGCGCATGCACATCTTCTCGGGCCGCTATATAAGGCGGCTCTGCTTGGCTCAAATCAGGCTCTACGTCGGCGATGCTACGAGGAGTGCGGTCGGGTCTCAATCGAGGAGCCAAGTCGAGGAGACGTGGACGCGCCGATCGCATGGAGGACTGTTTTTCAATAAAGAATCGCTTCATACCCCTGGACACCACGCCGAGCCCCCGCAATAGCGCCTACCTCAAGGCCAACTATTGCCTGATATGGGAGAGACCAAGTCTCTTCTTCTTGCTAACATCTAAAGAAAAAAACAATTTATCAAAACGATCACACAAACAAGACTACTACAAGTACTGGTCACAGGTAAACTCAAATCAACAGCTGAAAAGTGATTTTAAGCGCATACACTTAAATACAGCAAGTATAAATAAGTATCATTTTAAGAAGAAAAGAGAACAAATGTCAGATCTCTGGATGGGCAAATTTCGAGATATGGCAGGGGGACATCTATGCTCCGTTCGCAACATGGTTCTGCCTATGCACTTGATGTCACCAACGTGTAAATCAAACTGTAAAACAAGAATTTTTTTGGATAAAAAAGAACTGAAGTAAGCAAAAATCTTTCAACTTACGCGTAGAGGTAGTAGAAGAACGATAGCAAATAGAAAGCAAGCTTAGCCCAGCTAGCGCGAAGAGCCGCGCTCAATTCATTGCGGTTGAGAATCGTAGTTGGATCGTAGATGCCGGGGCCAGATATGACAGGGCGTCGCATGTATCTGCAAAAAAAAAACTTTTTGCTGCACCTTTCGCAAGCTCTACTTCCGGCGCTAGTCGTCTGGTTCACAGTTAGGAAATTGTATTCAAAAAGTCAGCAGCATCTCACGAAAGTCTAAGACAAACGATTCTGAGACTGCAAAAACTTCAAATGAAATAAGCATTGAGCAAGCCCTAGCTCGACGTCGGCAAAATTTGTCTGTATTGTCTGTACGCATTTTGAGGTGCAAAAAAAAATCGAGAAAGGAACATAGCAACAAATCAATAAACGTTGGTAAAATAAACTTGCCTAGAGGCCTTAGAAGTTTCAAAAACAAAAGATACAAAAAAAGATCTAGAAAACCATGAACTCACGTGGCGATATGATAGAATGCGAGCGGAAGGTTCATTAGAGTTGCGAACATCTGCCAACTGATAATGAAGAGAAACGTGTATGTCATTTGTATCGCATATTCCGGCAGAATCAACTGCAACAGTAGAAATATGCGAATGGTTTCACTAACACTGGACCACTAATATTTCATTTTTGACAACTTCGAACAATGTTTTTTCTTCTCTCTCTCTCTCTCTCTCTCTCTCCCATCTCAATAATTAGAAGTGAAAGCACGGAATGCAGTATCATCAAAATCATTATCTAATAGCAACAAAGGCCAGAAAGCAGAAAATATCTTCTTGATAGACAAAAGTATATAGATAAGCACACACCTGATTGAGGTTCCGACATTGCTCTATAGGATTTTTATAATCTGTCTTCAGCTCATCAATGCAGATTACCTGAAAATAGTATTTCTCAGAAACATACAAGTAATTATGTTGGAGAGAAAATGTTTTCTTTTTTGCATGGATAGTCACTTGCGACTTCAAGCACTCAAGCACATAATAAAATAGCAAAAAAGAATTTAATATAGGGCAAGAGAAGATATCTGTCTCTCGAATTGCATTACACCGTTGGAGGAATTTCCTACTTTTAGAACAGCCTCTTTTGGCTGGCAAAAAAGTGTTTTTTGAATTTTCAAGTTAGATTGCGACACTTGTTATAACGACTAATTTCGCCGAAAAAATGTGGATTCCACAAAGACAAGAATATGGTTATCCTCATGATGCAATCAGAGAAAAGTGAAAATGAAAGTGCACTTGCACCACCGAAAACCGTTAAAGTTTCGGCGAGCTTGCTTCAAGCTTTCAATCACATAATAAAACAACTAGCAAGAAAGGATACAGTATTAGGCAAGAGCAAATATCTGTCTCTCGAACTGCATTACATTGGAGGACTTTTCCATTTTTGGAAGAACTTCTTTTGGCTATCCAGAAAAACATTTTTTAATTTCCAAGTTAGATTGCGACATTTGTTATAACTTCGATAATTTCGTTAGTAAGAAAAAAATGTAAATCCGCAGAGGCCATATGGTCATCCTCATGATGCAATCAGAGTATGAAAGTGCAAATCTTGCACCACTGAAAATCGTTAAAGTTTCGGCGAGCTTGCTTCAAGCTTTCAATCACATAATAAAACAACTAGCAAGAAAGGATACAGTATTAGGCAAGAGCAAATATCTGTCTCTCGAACTGCATTACATTGGAGGACTTTTCCATTTTTGGAAGAATTTCTTTTGGCTATCTAGAAAAACATTTTTTAATTCCCAAGTTAGATTGCGACATTTGTTATAACTTCGATAATTTCGCTAGTAAGAAAAAAATGTAAATCCGCAGAGACCAGAATATGGTCATCCTCATGATGCAATCAGAGTATGAAAGTGCAAATCTTGCACCACTGAAAATCGTTAAAGTTTCGGCGAAGATGAGCAATAAATAATCAGACAAAACTAAGGTAATGAAAGATTTTTGGAAACACTTTGAAAAAAATTTGACTTACCGTGTAGATCGCAAAAAATATGCAAAATGCTACAGCAATCAGCGCAATGAGGTAAGCAAAGGCAGCGAATGTGAAAGCCATTCCCGAACCTGAAAAGAGTGTCTGATTCACTAGAGACAGTAGCTGTGTGTACAATAGTGTTTCTCTCGGCGCTCGAACACGTACGCCGAGAATAGCATGAATCATAATGATGTTTTAAACGCATAAAAACGTTGAATCACCGTCTTTTGGCGTGCTAGCGGCACGATTCAGTAGTTCAGGTGCAAGCATACGCATCCTTGTTTCAGAACAATGTCAATGAGCTCAAGCTCAGAAGAAAGCAGGGGAACACTAGGTGAAATGCAAGCTGTTGGCTATCGATCAGCTGTTCGCACGAAATGAGATGAACTCGCATTATGCGAGCCATAAGCAGTTGAGCTCTAAGCCCCTGGCTTCGCAACCAAATAAATGCTCACGTAAGGTTATTTTGGTGTGAGAAACACTGACGACTCCTCCTAGATACGAAAAGGAAACAAACAGTGTGATAGAACGGCGTGAAATGCTTTTTGTTGCGTAGCTACTAAACAGATAAAAACAGGTGGAAATCGATAGCCTGCACTTTCCTCCACGGCAAATAAAATCAAATTGCATTCTATTCACCTAATCGCTTTTGCAGTTTAGAATGTGTACCCGCAAAAAACGTTGCTATAGAAATTCATAAACAAGGTTTTCTCCGTATAAATTGAGTAACCAGAGAAAAACATTCCAAAAGTGCTTTCATAATGTCACTCAACAATGACTGAGGTTCTTAACTTATTGGCTTTCGGGACAGATCTATGGCAATATGCATTTATGTAGATTCAATGCTTAGATGTACTCATATACGATTATCGGAAAATAATTGAGATTTTAAAAATTACTGACTTTCGGGATAGAATTCTACGTCGATATGCATTTATGCAGATTCAATGCTCACTCGACTATTTATGAATTAGTTTCTTAAACATCAAACGATAACTTGTATGCATTTTCTATAACAAGTTAAAACAACCGCCATGACCCTTGAGAGAATCCTGCGAAAAAAAATTTAGAAAGTACAAAAATTTCTATTTAGAAGAGAAGATATTCTTGAGCGCAGTAGCACGAAGATAAGGGAAAAAACATTGTGGGAACATAGTGGAAAAAGGACAGGAAACCAATCCTGCTGCTTTTCATCAAAAGCTCTATTTTGCCACTTGATTGCGACGGTTTTCCGTTTACAATCTAAAATGGCGTTAGTAAAAAGGTGATCCCATGACTTCTCGTAGAAAGAGACTCTAAGAAATGGGTTTAGGCACGTGATCAAAGATGTGATCGTTTGTTTATGTCGACCTTTTTGTAACGCATCAGTTACAAGTGGGACATGCTCTTCAGAACGAAGCGTAACAGAACTTCCAACAATTTATTTCACTTGTGTGCGAAGACGAGCAATCCGCGGAAGCCTCGCCTAATGATTACTTGTTCTTCTACTCCGAAAAGGCGCGCCAAGTGAAAGAGAGATAAAAATTCCATATCCGAATTAATTTGTCAGTTTTTGGGATTCAAACAAATCAAACAATAGTGGGTCGTATCCCAAGTGATCTATGATATAACCTTTAATTCAACTGGCTTGGCAGCTGGAAGGCGGGACTTTGCTAATTAACACGTTGACGACCGCGCCATTTTGGGCGAAACTCACACTAACATCCTTCGCGCATTTGGCCCGTGCATACGCGCGGATGCACGAAAACATTATGTAGGAGTCTTTTTGGCACTTATTCATAAAACATGCGTACTTTGTTCAGACATACAGGTATATCACAGAGCCTTACCAGGACTTACGCAAATCAAGGTTTTTGCATGGATTTTCCCTTCAGTAAACCATGCAATGGCTATATCTGAGAAATCCCTCTTCGAGAAAAGCGCTGTAATACCAGGTGTTTTTTGCCTGATTCATCCTTATTTGATTTCAAAACAGCTATACAGAGTTTTCACCTTCTCAAAAAAACGTAATTACCATGTATTGACTACATCAGAAACGGACTGACTACCAAATTTTGCGGCAAAACCTTCTAAACAGCTGCCGCGATGCCCTGTGTTCTGTAATACAATCAGGCCACTAGTAATATTACTGCATAGAAGTTACCTTGAAACTTCTCGTTTGCACCTAAAAAACTAGCGTGCGTATGCGCGGATGCACGAAAATGCTAAACGGGAGTCAGGGCGTGCATGCATGCGGATACACAAGGTCGTCAACGTGTTAAAGACCCTCGAAGCGGTCTGCGTCTCTCCGCGCGCGTGCTCTCTGCATTGCCTAGCCTTAACACGTTTCGGACCGGTGCTGCACATGGTGCAGCACGCGCCTTCGAAGGACCTTTTCAACGTTTACAGGAGGTTTTCTTTTTGTCCAAGGTTATCAAGTCAAAGGCCTAAGCTTCTACTTTTCAGATAACTATGTAAAGTTGTGCAGCCGATATTTGTTTAGGAGATATGAGCACAAATCGAACAGCAGTTGCAACGAAGTGCGGCAGCGCGAACGACGCGTGCGGCGTCGCAAATTTTCTTAGCTTTGAATACGAAGGGAAAAACCGTAGTTCTAATAGTAATGTATATCGTGTACAACAGAGATACTTTTGGATACAATTAGAAACTGAAATCTTGTTCCTATCTTTCAAGAAAGCACTGAAGTGCTTCTCAAATGACAAATTCAAACACTTCGAATTCACTCAGGACTCTGGGCATGGATCTTATCTGACATGCTGATTACAGATGTAGCACACAATCTACGAATTAAGGTCCCTTTGCCGGCTAACGGCTGAAAGTACCCTTTTTTTCGCCGCGCGCGATTTCGCGATCCGAAACGTGTTAATTAGGTTCACGAAGCCCCGCCTTCCAGCCGCCGAGATAGTTGAATCAAAAGGTACATTACACTATCACCGCTGGATGCAGACATGGTTGCTGTAGAACGCAAGAAAGTTTGGAGCACTCACCGCTACAAAGCAATACTCTTGCGAAAAATGAGACACACAATGACCAAACCGACATGATATGATGATGATAGTGGGTATCTAACATGTAGCACCAAACTGTGCAGCGAATGAAGCACATTATAAGGCAGCGTCCCGGCAGATTTTGCATTTCCATCTTTTTGCATGTTTTGGGCCTTCTCGACCCGTAGATCGCGAATCTGAGCTTTAAAAGGGGTGAAAAGTCCTTTTTCGAGGCGTTTTTTTTCAATTTCCAAAAGGCAGCTCGGACGAGAATTTTCAAAGGAAAGTCGGGAGGCCCTGGCACGAAGACCTTCTGTAATTTTGGCTTTGTATAGCATGCACAATGCGGGAAAGCGGTCGGGGGGTCCCGCGCCGTCTAGCGGACAATATTCGTCCGAACAAGGTTACGTGTTGTTTTACGCAACACGCGCTCATTTAAGCGGCGTCTAAACTGTGCGGGACTCACAGGAATCGTAGGAATCGCAGGAGTCATAGGAATAGCAGGAATAGTATGGCCGATCCCTTAGGGGAGCGAAAGGAGGAAGGGGAGCGGCGCTTGGGCCGCCCCCGTGGCTTGCAGAGTTCACATTTTCGGCGCGAAGTTGCTGTTTTGGCTAACTTGGAGGGCCTCCTATCCATCTGTGTCAAAATCTGAGGAAGGTCAATCTGCCGAGCCGCTGCCTTTGAGTCTAAGACCAGAGGCCGATAAAGTCTCAAAGAGATTTCAAGAGATGCGATTATGCATTATTCCGAACGACTACAATGATAGAGAAAGGATTGCAAATTTAAATCCAGGTGAACCTATAACTCGAGGAATGTTGCCACGCATAAAGCAGCCACTGGTAAAGAGAACGACGTTTACACAAGAAATCTGGCACTCATGTGATTGACGCATGCAAGGGAGAAGATAAATCATTGAAAACTTCTTTTCGCAGTTCAAACGTAAAAGATAAAGAGTGCATGACCTCCTTTGAAAAGCGAACAGGAAACATGTTTCGATATTTCGATACTGACGATTGTATGCTGCGAGAATCGAAAAATATCTACTTGATTCATGATTTATCGCAGATCAGTCAACAAACAGATATAACAAGTCTATGATCAGCGCTGTTCAGAACGCTCATAAAACCGAATAACATGCTCTCTTAAGACACACATATGGTACATCAAGCAATTAAAACTTATATGGTACATCAAGCAGTTAAAACTTATCATTTGAAAGCTAGGGCCTATTCAATTTCATCAGTAACAACAACTTCTTCTCTGTCCGCTGCAGGGATATCATCAGCAATAATATGAGGTGAACCCGGTCGTTCAATGTTTAGATCCGCTTCCTCAAAGGGTTCATACTCCACTTCGTCTACCACAATATTTTCTTCTTCCTAAAGGAAAAAATGAGTACCTAAGAACGAAAACATATCATCGGCTTCCAGATTCGTGTGGAGGCGGAGCCTTGCCAACTCATTGCGTGGCGGTTTTTGTTAGCGAGAGAGTACGAAAAGCAATGCTATGACGTGGAGGTTTAGCGAGTTTACCTGTGTTATCAGGCAAAGTCTGCAATACACCTCCACTTGAATCTGGAAACTGATCATACAGTACTCAGCCGTGCTGAGGTTCCTCTAACGGAAGCGAAATCAAAGATACTACGCGTACGCATCAAATATTGAATAACATATTAATTCTGTTGAAAATAGGTGTGGATAGCCGTGCGAGATAATGGATCACATTCTGATTTTTTAGATGACTTGAGCCTGAGAGGCAGTGTTACGGCAAAATTCGTTTGCCAGTTTTTCATCAATTCAGAGCCTTTTCGCAATGGGGAATCCATATCTGGACTTTTTAGCGCATGGAAATGGCGAAAATGAGCTTTTTTCGTAGCTTTCCAGTCCGCATTCAGTGGTGCAAATGGGCGGAGTTCGGAACGAGGTATAGGCCGTCCGCGCTGCGCGCGGAGAGTACGGCTGCTGCGTACAGTGAAGGCAGTTCACGACTTGAAAAAGCGCAGAGAAAACAGGCGGAGAGAGTGCACGAGGAAAGAGTGACCGCAATACACACCTTGCGCACCCTCCGCGCCCTGCGCGGATGGCCTATAGATGGGGTACGGAAGACATCCGGCGTATTTTCACTGGATGCAACTGGAAAGCTTCGAGAAAGGATCATTTTTGCCATTTTCATGCGCTGAAAACCTAGATATGGGTTTCTCACGGCGAGAAGGTTTCGAATGGGTGAAATAGTGGTAAGCGATATTTTGCCGGGAAGCTGCCTCTAAGCCCGATCCCCTGAATCTCCTGATCAACAATCACTTTCGTCTGCACACACTGAATGTGAAACAAATGTATAGGTTTACTCAGAAAGAAGCAAAGACTTTTTTGAGTCTCACAATTGATAGAATTAGCTCAGATTACAAGATGTAACTCATAGACGCTCCAATTACCACTTCTGCACCATTGCGCGAAGTGAGAAAAGGTGAAGATGAATATGTATGCGGTGTCGATGGAAAAAAGCAATGCACTTGGAATGACACCTACTTAGAAGTTTGAACTCTAAGGATTTACAGTGCAAATTTTTACGAAAATCATGTGTGAAATCGCTAAGCTTCCTTTGTACTTCTATTACTCTATCGTATTTATTTAGTCCTATTTAGTCGATTTGTATGCTTTTATTTGGTGTTTCTGTTTTACTATATTTTGGGTAGAGGAACGAACGCCTCAATTAGGCATCGCCTCCGCGGGCTGCTGGTCCTTTCGTCCTATTGTTGTGCATCGTGTTGGGACCAGTGGTCCGCGGAGGCGGTGCCTAAGTGAGGTGTTCGCTCCTCCACCCCTATGTTTTGATTGTTTCGTGCTACCACGCGATCAGGCTGCATGCGTATCTTCTCGGCCGCTATATAAGGCGGCTCCGCTTGGCTCAAATCAGGCTCTACGTCGGAGGTGCTACGAGGAGTGCGGTCGGGTCTCAATCGAGGAGCCAAGCCGAGGATACGTGGACGCGCCGATCGCCTGGAGGACTTTTCTTCAATAAAGAATTTCTCCACACCCCTGGACACCACGCCGAGCCCCCGCAATAGCGCCTACCTTAAGGCAAACTAGTGCCTGACATAAGAGACACCAAGTAGTCTCCTTCGCCGTTACACATGCATATTTAGCAAATGAATTTCTAATATTTAATTTTCCAAGAATTAGGATACCCAACAGTCAAATCACTTACTTGCTCTTGCTGTCGCGCTTCTTGCTCACGGTCTGTATACACCACAGGGGCTTCATCAGGGTGTTCCTCAAACTGCTCCTGTATATCATCAACCACTTCACCCACAAGTTCTCGAACTTTGTCATAACTCAGATGCCAATCCACCTTGCTGTTATCTATTCCATCAATAAGCAAAGGCACATAGTCGTCCTCCTAATTGAATATTTTAATGCAACGGCAGAATTTTAGGCATAAAGAACATACATGTTGCTCTGGAACACGGGTGAGTGGCTGTTCATTTGGATCTGGTATCGGTAAGAAATAGAATTTTTTGAAGATACCGAGGCCGGGTATGTACCTAAGCAAAATAAGTGTCTTCGAGGATGGCAAACATCACGGACCTACCGAAGAGCATTTGGGTGGAAGTGTGCTGGACAGATGTAGTGACGGCCTTCCAATGATAGCCGATTCAAAAGACGAAGACGGTTCTATAGCAGTAGTACAATAGCGGAAGCAAGGAAAAAAAGTAAAAACTGTTTACCCCACGTCGGCGAGACATCGAGTCCACCCACATAATCCGCTTAGCTGGATCGTGCGGGAATGGAGTCATGTTCTGGGCCAAATCGCTTGCTGAACAAGCCACGCACTGTACCGTTATTGAGGCAACAAGCTCTCGCTCTGCTATTAGTTCATAAGGGTCCTAAAAATGGGAGTTCATGAAATAGCTACCAACTCTGTGAAAAATCAAATGACATAACTGCTCTACGTTGATCCATGAGAATCGAATCAAAATGAATGAACATACAGTCGGGTAGATTTTCCACTTAATATGGTGTGCTTGCACAGAAGGTGAAATGCGTAAAATTTGCACGTCAACAAATAGCTTGGACCGTGACGCTGGCCAACTGCGCGCGCCAAATGCCGGCAATACTGGCATGGTTAATTATTCACGAGCAAATTTCACCGCATTTCACCTTTTGTGCAAGCACACTGTATTGAGCGGCTATTCGACTGTACACAAAAGACTGATGGAACATATACTAGTGATTAAAATGTTGAATAGCGCATATAAACAGAAATACAAAGCAAATGTAAAAAAGGCTTCGAAAAATGCACTTAGTTTACGCTATTTTTGGGATTCAGAACTTACTCGTAACACAGAAGCAATAAAAAATGAGCAAAAAATTTTGAAGTGATAACTCGCCTCATCTGGCATGTGGGCTTTGCATATTGTAGATGCTTCCGCACATAATTTGTCAACGCCTTTTCGTAACGTCTAAAACAGCTTTTTCATAAACACTAAAACACAGGAAAGCAAGCAAGGTCTTGAACGAAAGATAAACACGCACCGCCTTCTCGACGCTGATAAGCATTTCCACCAAAAAGTTGCGCTCAGCTTGTCCGTTAGGCGTACGAATCTCTGTCATTTCGGATTCAACATTCCATGTATCACAAAGAGGACACTTCACAACTCCTTGAGGACCTCGGGGAATTCTGGCGTACTGGCAAATATTCTGAGAAGAAAGCAATATTTTTGGTTTGAAAACAAATCAAAGCTATGTCTCACCAAACTCAGCGGTTGCGAAGTCTGATCAAAATCGATGCATTCGTTGAGCACGGTAAAGCTTGACTTATGGAAATGGAAAAGACACAGTCGATAGTGAGTAGCTGTTTCCCGCGTTAGCCTCTCACACAACTGAAAAGCACGAATACATGAGCGAATATTTAAAATAACTATAAAAATGCATATACTAGTTCACACTTACCCACTGTTGTTGTTTCAGCACCAGATTGCTGAGAGGTTTCTTAGAAAACAGACTTTTTGCCCAAGCAACTCTAAAAACGAAGATATCTCTTTGGAAATGTTGTTACGTTGAAGGACGTTGTTACCTGCTAGGCTTATCCACTGGGAAAGGAAGGAGCAAATTCTCATCAGGTAACTCTTCATCGCATAGGACACAATATCGAGCAAGCCAAGCTTCATACTGTCGTGCAATTCCCTGTATTTGAACTTTTTTAACTCCATCACATAAGCAAGAGCTTCCCTCAGAAAAGTACTTACAGCCTCGTCCAAATGCCGTTGACAAACACTCAGACTTGGATAATGATAAATAGTACTGGATAGGGCATTGAGGGGTTCTATCCGTCTCTTTACCCATAATCGACGAATTTCATCTTCCACCTCTTTCGGCCATGCCAGAAACAAGAGGAATTTTTCATGCTTCACACTGCAACGGAAACATATGGTAGTGCTGAACTAGAACGCATCATCTCTAACTTACTCATCATAAGGCCACGTTCGTATCCGACTTCCCACTTTTCTTTTGTCGTATGCTGATATAGCATGGCAGAATACACATTCACGAGCCTCTGACACCGCCACATCGACCGTTCTTTGCAGCTAGAAAGGGGCCGTGATTAATAGAAGAAGCGCCAACTGTATAATGCTGCACCTTGCGTATAACTTCGATTTCAGCATCGCTATCGTCAGAGTAAGGGATATCCCCTTCCACCACTTCATCGATGTCTTCTTTGACGCCATCTTGGGATGTGCTCGGGTCCTGATAGTATTCTTCACTTGGCCCGACTGAAAACATGCGAAGTGTAAACGTTGACTAGAAAGTTCCAAAAAAAAGAAAGGGGAGGAAAAGAGGAAGAAAAATATTAGCATTGGTGGAATTATATTTCAAAACATTCAAAATTTGTGGAAAAAGATGTAAGAGTGAAACGAGCAAACTAAATAAAAATTCTTAGCTTACAGTAAAGCTGTAGTAGAAGACATTTCCTTTAGGGCAAGCCTCACCTCCTTCATCCGGGTACAACATGGGCATCTCGGGATCGACTTCGATATACTGCGGAGGATGAGAGCCACTCACTAGAGCTAGCCTCCTCCCGTTGCTCACTATGTAATTGGGAGGAGGTTCCGCATACTCGGCGTGCCTGGCGGGTCTCTGATCTTGCGGCAAGCGCGGAAACGTTCGTCGCATTCGATCATATATGGCCCTCGAATTTTCTCGATCCATCCGTTCCTTGAAAGACAAAGTAGATGATGACTTACAAAAAAAAAATCGGCACTAACCTTCTCTTTGGCGTGTTTCCGGAGCATTAGAAAATTCAACCTCCTTCGACGCAGCTCGTCATTCCGTTGTATAGTTGAATCAACATGATTGATCATGTATATGCGCAAGCTTGTTCGTTCATTCTCTTCTAGCTAAAGTAAGCAAATTATCAAGAAAGAAGTTCTCAATTCATTTCAAGATAGAAGAAGCAAAAAATCAAAATCAAAAATACTTTCAGACAAGCAAGACACCAAAGAAGAAAGAAGAATGCACTCACGACAGGATTTGGCAAAGCATCCTTCTTTAACTTCCATTCTCCATATGTGTTGATCGAGAAGCAACTATCGGCAAAATGCCAGTCGCACAAAAATTTCGTGGCACCATTCTTCAACGCTTCACGCAAATGCCTTGAAATAACTGACTAGTAAGAAAGTGTATTTCAAAAAGGTAGAACGTACCCCTCAGCCTGAACATCACCGTCACACAGCGCGCTTATCCACCTACGACGGCGAAATCTCGCTCTAGCAAAAGGTATCATTGATCTTAGTGGTCTTTGCGCGTTACAGTAAACGCATGTCAGGATCATGCTGCCAAAATCGACATCGTCTGCGTTTTCTCCAACCATCTGCAAAACAGATCTATCTCCAGCAAAACGCGAAGAAAAGCAAGAAGATGTTACCTGCGGGTCCCTCATGTCAATGGGCAGCACATCACGAGAGTTGCGATAGGATTCACTGACTTGTGGAAAGTGAATCGAGCAAACTTCTCCACTGTGAGCATTGTCGGAGAAAGCATCTTTGACCCAAAGCTCAGCGGCTCTTTCAGGCTCGAGGTTGAATCGTAAGATCCAGAGCTTCCGAAGCTGAATGTGACAAGGTTACAACCCAGAGAAAGAGTGTGATGGCAATTCACTGCCTTCTCAGAAAAGGTAGTTAGCTTTGCCAAACGGTTAAAGAAACAGATTTACAAGAGCTTTCCGACACCACCAACATCGCTCACATAAAGGGGTAAAAATGAACCAAATCTGTAAATCACTTGAGACAAATCAACAAAAAAATTAGTAAAAAAAGATAATCCGTGGTAGTTCGATTTTTCTCCGCTAATCTTCGCAATCGAACAAAAAACCGAGTGGTAAATACAACTTGCACACCTGTAGATCACTTGGAAGCCCACGCGACTTTCCACCTAACCGCTTTGCCTTGCAAACTTGACAATACTTTCCCACGTCATTGCGTCGTACGTATGACTTGTTCTTATATCGATGATAGTAGCTGGAAGTGAACACAACAATGCTACGAACCCCAACAATGAGATGTAACTTACTTAGTAGCAGTATAATCGATCTCATTGTCCAAGCATGGACTTTCATCCGGCCCTCTACGTCGTTTTCTCGGCTTTATCACTCTTCTGAAAAAGAAAGAGACTTTTCCAAAGAAAATTGGCCTACGGAGATGTATTTTACGATGGGTCGCGCAAAGAAAGCAGATACATTCTCAGGTTGAAACGAACCTTGTAGGATCATCATCCTGCTTGTCGGTTGTGGTGATATACTGCATTTCAGGATGCTCCATATCGTCGGCCTCAGTCATTTCGCCGTCGCAGAGGAGATCCTGTCACAAAAACATTGAAGTAGTTGAATCGCCAATGGTCTACCCTAACTGCCACAGAAAAGGGCAACAAGTTCTGGGAGTTGAGCTAATTACGAGATCGCAATTTCTCAGAATATATCCTTGCGGTCTTCCGACAAGTGCTCTTACGAGTCCAGTGCATGCCGATCATCTTACAAAAAGGTTGTGATAATTATTTGCGATCAGTCGCGCCGGAAACTATCACAACCGAAATGCAAGATGATTGGCATGCAGTGGACTCGGAACAGTTGTCTTATCGGAACAATCGCGAAGTGATAAAGTTGCGTGAAGTATGTGCAGCCCCTGAACGATCCAAATCATGTAGATGTACTTTAGTTTGTACGTGTAAATCTGACCATGTGGGAGGAGTTTACGCCTAAAGGAGGCGGAGTTTGCAAAAGATCACCTCTCAAGCGTGTCATGCATTTGAGTGACTATGAATGACTATGGAATAAGCATAAAAGATTCATGGCATCAGGAAATCAGGGAACATCCTTATGGAAAAAATTCATAACATAATGTATCCTTTTCCAATTTTGGCTTCTATTTTCTTCTGAATCAGTGATTGTGTCAATGATTGGACCACCTGTATGGGCTTGCTTTGCTCTAACGGAAGATGTGCCGCTTGTCTTGCTTAGTACGTACTAGGAAAGGATCTTCAGTCGAAGTGGCCTCTTCAGATAATTAACATATAATCTTGAAGGGCATCGAATCTTGATTCCGGGTTTGTCTTCCCTATCTACGGAGCGCCTCTCGGCAAAAAGTTGTGAAAGTTTTTGTGGCGAAAAGCTGAAGGCCTAAGAAGAAGAGATGATAGTAGAAGCCGTGTGCTCAAATGGCGCAATAATGTCGGTCAAAGCAGTCTGTGCGCAAAATAATATGTCTACTGTACCCATACTCAGAACCATTATATCTGCAAAGTGCACAGGCTGCCACGATCAAATTTACCCTGGTCGAGGTTTCAGTTTCTTGGTTTTCGACAGTCACAGCTCCTCAACCACAGGGGATCCACAAGGAAGACAGATTTATAATCAGCGTTTCATAAACTTCAAGAATATATATATATATATATATATCAGTGGCGTACCCAGGATTTCGGCTCGGGGGGGGGGGGGGGCGCGACAAAAATTTTTTTGTAAAGAAGGTGCGTGGCGTTAGCCACGCACTCCGAAAAAATTTTTGGGGTGCTTCTCAAAATTTTTCCGGGTCCCCGACCCCTACAATCTGGAAAAAGGGGGCGTGGCGTTAGCCACGCCCCCGAAAAAAAATTTTTTATAAGGCTGAAATGAATTTTTAAAAAATTTTAAAAATTATTTTAATTATTTACAAGTAAAAACAAGTCACTTGCACATTTTTATAACCCATGTAAGTAACTTTCAAAAATTTCGCGACCCGTTCTCGGGGGGGGGCGCGCGCCCCCCCCCGCCCCCCCCCCCCCCCTCGGTACGCCACTGATATATATATATATATATATAAGGTTGGAAACTAAGTTTTGCAACACATTCAATAACTTCCCTCTCACTGAACGTGGCGCACTCAAATTTTGCCATTGTGTTAGCTATGGCGTAAGCTACAAGGCAGCTGCTGTTCTACCAAATTCTGACGCCGCAGTGAGAGTTCCGGTAGGTATATGGTATAAGGGGAAAAATTCTAAAATTCGATAAATTTGGCTGAAACTTGGCGTAGAGGAGGTATCCGACATGCTGGTCACGAAAACGATACTGAAGTTGCGTACTAAAGCCTTTTTTATAACTACTGTAAGTGTACGATATAGGGTCTCACCCTAAACAAGGAAAGAGCCGTTGATTCAACAAATGAATATGATATTCGCGTTTAGCACCTCAATGTGTAAAGGCTTGGGGAATTGTGGTTTTGACTCCTTAATCATTGACGGTTGTCCCCAGCAGCCTTGCGTATAGCGACTTGTTCGAATTTGTGAGGGCGCCAAATCTCCTTGCTCCCAAATTTTATCTCTTTCTTGGTGAGCCGAATGAGTCAACCCCTAGCAGCAATTCATGCACGATTTCGGATTATTGCGCGTGGTCTAGGCTGCTAAGGCTGGGTTCATACTGAGCCGCACAAAGCGGCACAGTTCCAGCACAGCGCTCGAACTGTGCTTGAAGCTGGAACTGTGCCGCTTTGTGCGGCTCAGTATGAACCCAGCCTAACGGCTTCATTTTGGCTCATAACCCCAAAAATCCTCAAAATTTACCAGTTTCCGAAAAAAGCCTGGAATTTTCCTGATTCGTTTTCAAAATTCAAACAGTATTTGGGAATTGTAGCTCGCATCACGCTCTACATACTGCCAAGGTTTGATTGCGCCACATCCAAAGAGAGCTGAGTTATGAAAGTAGTTGCAAAACTTAGTTTCCAACCTAATATATACGCAACTCATCTTGAAAGGCCACTTTCACCTATGATCCCCCCTCCTCATTAGGCCTAACAGATTCTTTCGATAATCAATGTTCGTGAAAACTCTTGCCAAAGTAACAGAAAGTATAGACGGTCAATTTTCAAGCTTTCATCTGCTAGAATGGAAGAGCAGCCACTATACGGCACCATTTACTTTCGAAGACGGATTCGAAACTCTTTGCTTGCACAAATCATAGCTTGATGTTTGTATGGTGTGCCGGACAGACTCAGAATAGGAAAGCAAAGAAACTATACTTACTAAAGCTGTTGAACGCCGATAAACACTCTTTCTGAATTGAAAAAACAAGCACACCTACCTCTTGCAGATCCTCATCTTGCATTTCATGCCCGTTGTCGAACAGTTTTTCATTTCCCTGATATTCTTCTTGCATTTCTTTGTGAGCTGGTCATATACAATACTTCAACCTGAAAGTTGTTTTATGAAGTTTCGTGAGTCCCCAGCTCCATTCCATTATGTCAGGTTTAGTTTCATAAAAGCAAGCGCTAAAACTGTGGTTTTGCCTCCGATAAACTACGGCAAAACTTCTGTTTTGCACTTTCTCAACACAAGCGGGTTCTAATCCGCAAGTTTCGCTTCTGCTTATTTCTTAAAAATCGACCAAACTGTGCCGCGCAAGTGGTCTAGCAGAGAAGAGAAAATGTTGACCCCTTACGACTGTAAATCCAACCCTCGTAACTTACCTCAGCCATTTTGCTTCGTTGAACTTTTCCAGTAAGTCAGTCTTGTTAACCTTGCTCAAATTTGTTAAAGGGTTTAAAAATTTACCTTTCTTAAAGGATGAAGTTGTTAAAGGATGCAAGGGCCAAGCCTTTAAACCGCTCTGAGCCTGAGCGCGACGCAACCGCTGTAGCGAATAGTCATGCCTAGAGCGCGAAATCTTGCGTGACTCAGCAATATCGGCCGTCAACTGGAAATTCTTTGTAAGGGATCGTTCAGACCGCGCACAAAGGCGCACAAAGGCGCACGAAGGCGCGTGTGAGTGAGTGTGCGTGTCGAGATGAACGAGACGAGACGCGCCTCCGTGCGCCTTTGTGTGCCTTCGTGCGTCTTCGAGCGCCTTTGTGCGCCTTCATGCGCCTTTGTGCGCCTTTGTGCGCCTTTGTGCGCGGTATGAACGATCCCTTAGTTTAGTGCCTCTCAGACTTTGTGTAAATGCGGACATTCTCGTCAACATTGAGATTGTCTTTGTGGTTTCCAAATTCATTTCTATAACGTAACAACTTAGAACAGTAAAGTACTGTGCCTAACAAAATATCAACAAGAAAAAATTCAGTGAAGAAAGTATGTATCACTTTAGATTTGGAGGTGGTGCAGGGACACGAGGAAACTGGATGGAGAGCCTAAATCGATCTCAAAGAAGATGTCGAAGGAACACCGACTAGTTGTTAAACAGTGCCAAATGTTCGCTAAAAACTGTTTGTATAGAGTTCAATTTTTCTTGATTTCTCCATTAGCAATCTTTGGAATATCCACATTCTGAATATCACGCGCATCGGCACCAAGATCTTCTTGCCACCGTCGTGACTACAAACTCAGAAGCATAATTCACCTCTTTTATCAGAGTAGGGTTCTCTTGATTTCTCATAAACTTACCTGCCGTAGCTGTAAAGTGGAACCATTGATTACGACATCAGAAATCGAATAATTATTCTGTTGAAGCGACCTCTGCTCTAGTATTGCACTCCCAATTTTGTTGGAATAGGGTCGTCGAAGCTGTAAATGATAATATTTAGGGTCAGCAAATGCATTTTGCACTTTCTGAGACAATTTACCGGAACTTCCGCAGGACAAGCAAAAGATGCAGCTTTTTCGCAGATTTACTTTGCTATTACAAAAGTGGAAACGCTGAAAGTAGGAACTTCTGCAAAAATTTCATGTCAGACTGGTTGAAAACAGGAACTTCCGTAGGGGTTGTGACAAAACAGTGAGGACATTCGTAAAATGCCAATGCTTCTGCAGCACTTTGGCCTGCCAGAACAACGTCGCAGACTTGAATGTGTTGCCTATTACGAATTGTGTGCCAAATCTGGAGTGTTTTGTCGAATGTCATCCGTGTGCAGAGGGTAGTGAGTGAGTCTTGCAGTCAATAGAGTAATGTCCAAATCTCGTTTCAGTGTTCTTTCTTGCTTTTGAGGTTCGCATTATTCGGAACTTTTGCAGCATCTCATTTGAGAAATGCAAGTTTACGGAACTTCCGCAGATGACCCGGCTGAACTTTTCCAAATGTTCTGCTGAGGTTCCGGTCAGCTGTCTGAGTTGACAATATTGAGAATACCAATGCTTGCTGCTATTGAAAAAATGCCAGTAGAAAGATACTGTTTTTTTTAGAATTTTCTACATTATCTCGTTGCGCTGACAGAGGTAAAAAAATTCGCTTTTCAGCAGATTGTTGTGGAAATTTGGTATTTTTACAAAGATTACTCTTCCGCTTTTATTCGGCATGCAGCTTTCTGTTCATACAATACATTCAGACGATTCTAAAGATTTCTCTGCTCCTCAGCAGTAGAAGTCAAACATTTTCAAATTTGATATGTTAACCATTACACATAATAAACAATGTTTTCTATTTTCACAACTAATGAATCGTCCATCTGAGAAAATTGAAGGACAAAAAAAACACATAGAACCTCGCAACGGTCCAACATTAGTTGTGTTGCTTCAAGTGTTGCAATAAATAAAGTACTTGAAAGATGTAAGTTTTAGTTGGAAACAGACGCATAAGTACTGTTACATGAACAATGGAGAAAACCTTTGATGGCGAGTTTGAATTATTTCCGAAAAAATCCACTCAACGAAGAACTTAGGTGTGTACTTGGTCCAAAAAGGAGGCAAAAAAACTGTAATAGCAGTATAAATGCAGGTGAGGGAAAACAAGTAGCATTGGGTAATGACAGCAATCTACTTTATTCTTAGTATTTTACTAGTCACTGTTCAGAGGTTAGTAATATTTTGTATTCTTCAAATTGTTTTGTCCCCAACGAGCATTAATTTTTTCGAGCTTTTTTTTTTGGAATTTTCAATAAGTGTAACACCTTCAACTGCCTTTTTGCATCTCCTTTTGCCAATTATAATGCGTATAACCAATCTCAATCTTTTCCAAACTTTTTCCTCCGTCCACAGAATCCTCCAACAAATGCTGTTTGAAGTAAGAATGAACTTGAACCAGTTAGTTAGCGCGTAGTTCGAAGCTGATGAAAATGAAAGCGGATACCTTACTTAGGGTTACGTGACTGTTGAATAACTCCCCTCCCCTTCATAAAATACCAAAATAAACCTATTATATACTAATCATTTCAAAATTTCAGGTCTTACGCGGGCTATGCTGACGATCTCGGAGGTTAAGAGTAATTACTACTAGTTTTTTCAAAAATTAATTTGTTCCTTCTAGATGAAGTTCCTGTGGCAGCGGAAGCCGAGCCACAGGCTTACCCTAGCCACGTTGCTCCTGCTGTCCCAGCGGCGGGGGTAGTCCCAGAAGCGGCTCCAGATGCGGCAGTGATTTCAAATCCACTGACTTACGGTATTCCAGCCAAGCCGACGATCGTGGCGCCAACCGCGGAACCATCTCCAGCTCCAGTTGCTCATGTTGAGCCAGTTGTGGCAGAGGTTTCAGCTACGGCTCCAACCCCAGAAGTGACCCCAGCTGTGGTGGCGGCACCAGAAGTGACTCCAGCTCCAATGGGTGCAGCTGTTGAGCCTGCTCCGGCTGTCGTGAATTATGGAGCAGCTCCAGCTCCAGCTGCTAATATTGGACCAACAGTGGTAGAGGTTCCTGCAGCAGCTCCAGCTCTAGGTGCTAGTGTTGGACCAAGAGTCGTAGAGGTTCCTGAAGCAGGTCTAGCTCCAGGTGCTAGAATTGGACCAACAGTAGTAGAGGTTCCTGAAGTAGGTCCAGCTCCAGGTGGTAGAATTGGACCAACAGTCGCAGAGTTTTCTGAAACAGGTCCAGCTCCAGGTGCTAGAATTGGACCAACAGTCGCAGAGTTTCCTGAAACAGGTCCAGCTCCAGGTGCTAATATTGGACCAACAGTCGTAGAGGTTCCTGAAGCAGCTCCAACTCCAGAAATAGCTTCAACTCCACTAGCGCCTGCCACTTCCGTTTATGGTCCTCCACTTGTGGTAGATCTCCCGGCAGTTCCGGCTCCGGGAGCCCATGATAGGCTTGTAGCGCCTCTTCCGGCAGTGACTCCAGCTCCAACAGTAGCTCCAGCAATGGCGAAGATTCCAGCAGCACCTGCAGCTCCAGTGGTAGCTCCAGCTCCAGTAGCTCCAGGTGTGGCAGTAGCGCCAGCTTCAGAAGTAGTTTCAGCTTCACCAGCATCTGCCGCTCCCATTGATGCTCCTTCACTTGTAGTAGATGTCCCAGCATTTCCGCCTCCGGTGGCCCATGGCGAGATCGCAGCACCTCTTCCAGCAGTGACTCCAGCTTCAACAGTAGCTCCAGCAATGGCGAAGATTCCAGCAGCACCTGCAGCTCCAGTGGTAGCTCCACCTCCAATGGTAGCTCCAGGTGTGGCAGTAGCGCCAGCTTCAGAAATAGCTCCAGCTCCAGTAGCAGCTGCCACTTCCGTTGATGCTCCTCCACTTGTGGTGGATATTCCGGCAATTTCTGCTCCGGTGGCCCACCATAAGATTGTAGCGCCTCTTCCAGCAGTGACTCCAGCTCCAACAGTAGCTCCAACCATGGCGAGGATTCCAGCAGCACCTGCAGCTCCAGTGGTATCTCCAGCATCGGTTTTCGCTCCAGCTGTGGCAGTAACGCCAGCTCCAGAAGTAGTTTCAGCTCCACCAGCATCTGCCGCTTCCATTGATGCTCCTCCACTTGTGATAGATGTTCCAGCAGTTCCGGCTCCGGTAGCCCGTGATAGGCTTCTAGCGCCTTTTCCAGCAGTGACTTCAGCTCCAACAATAGCTCCAGCAGTGGCGAGGATTCCAGCAGCACCTGCAGCTCCAGTGGTATCTCCAGCATCGGTTGTCGCTCCAACTGTGGGAATAACGCCAGCTCCAGTGGTAGCTACACCACCGGCAATAGCTCCAGCTGGCGCTCCAGTTCCAGTAGAAGCTCCACCTGTGGCAGTAGTTTCAGCTGTGACCCCAGCTCCGGCAGTAGCTCCAGCGTCGCCAATAGCTTCAGCTTTAGCCCCAGCTTCAGTTGTAGCCCCAGGTGTGGCACCGGTCCCAGCAGCTCCTGCAGCTGCATTAATAGCTCCATCAGTGGCAGCAGTTCCCGCTGTGACTGCAGCTCCTGTAGTAGGTTCAGCGCAGGTAGTAGCTCCAGCTGTGGCTGTAGCACCAGCAGTGGCTCCAGCTCCACTCATAGCTCCAGCCGTAACAGCGGTTCCAGCAGTGCGTCCAGTTCCAGTAGCAGCTCCTGTTCCTGTGGTAGCTTCAGCACCGATAGTAGCTCCAGCTGTCGCACCTCTAGCTCCAGCTATGGAAGCAGTTTCAGCAGTGGCTTCAGTAGCGGCTCCAGCTGTTCCTGCTCCTATACTACCTTACACAACGGTTGGTTTCAAAAATTGCTCGTGTCTACTTAACTTATTTGAACTTTTCAGGGTCATACTTACTATCATCCTCGCACAGAAATCAGAAACGTCGTAAAGTCGTATTCTAAATGTTCGTACGTTTAAGTTCTTGATCTGATCTAATCATCTTGGTTACAGATGCCGGCCACTTAGCCAAAACTGATGCATTCTCCAACACGGGTCATGTTCCGCTCAACATGCCTCCATTCCGCGATCTTGCAGAAGCTTTGGCTTCCTTGGAGTCATTGCGAAAAAACAAGAGACTGGCTTTAGAGAAAGCATTTGGGTTACATCACGCGTTTAATGAGAAGAAGATTTTCTGGTTTTAATTTGCAGAGATTTGTGTTATTGATTACTTTTCCGCTGATTTGTACGTTGTTCTTATATGAATTTTTGTTGCAAATAGATCGCGGATATACACACTTTAGTTTTATTGACTTTACAAGATGTCTGGAAAGTTTCTAGTCTGAAATTCTTCCAAGTCGGTTCTGACGGTTTATCGTTAGGGACCATCAAATCAATATCAAAGTGGTTCCTATAGTTTCTTTGATTTTTGATTCGACTGCAGCTTTTCATACTTCTTATCTTAAAGTGCTGGTCACTAAGGAGAAACCATTTTTCACAATATGACGTGCTTTAAAAAACAAGCGATCTTCAAAATTTGTTCCTTATGAGATGTTCCAAAGTTTTCAAAACTATTTCCGCAGAGTTTTGAGGCATGCAGAAATTTTTCAAACATTCGCTTTATGATGTCGGGAAAGTTCTTCTACAAATGCACACTGAAGCAAGAATTTCCACGAACTATAGAAATTCTGATCTAAACTCCTCGATCTCTTCTTTTCTTCTTCAAACCCTAAAGAAAACTTGTAGCAAGCTACTGCAGAACTTGTTTCTGTACCGAGAGTGTAAAGCAAATACATTTACTATTTAAAGATTGTCTTTCAGCCTTGAAAAATTTTAATTGAACTGATATGAATTATTCTGCTCTTCTAGAGTGGTTACTTTCAATCGAATTCAGCGAAAAATCTCTTTTTTTGTTAATCTGATGGTTCAAGAGACCCAACAGGAGGCGGTTTCTATTTTTCACTACAAAAGTGAAATTTGGTCCGAAAAGTTCTTTTCGCTTTATGATAAATTTACAAGGACTGGGGAATCGTAATCTATCAAAAATGCGCCTTGTTCTTGACCCATTCGTGACACTTCAAGAAAAACTGATTTTGAGTTCATTTGGCAAATCCAATTTGTCTAAAAATAAGCACGCTTTGCCCAGGACAACTGGTAGATTGAATGTAACTATCAAAAACAACAAAGGCCTTCCCTGTAACCCTCATATACCAGTCTTTGCAGTGTTGTTAATTCAAAACGACTATTCTCCGGCAAGGTCGTTCGCAGAGACTAAAAGTCAAGCTGTGCCGTAAAACCGCTTTGATTAATCGTCTCAAGGCTGCGTAGACGGCCATCAAAGCCGGCAACTCACATTTTTGTGAAATCCACGTGGCAGTCGTTGTAAAATTTTGTAACATTGAGATCTCAACAATTTTGCTAAACAACGTATCCAATGGAATTCCAACTGCAAGTCACAGGAGTGCATTTGCCATGTGACTAGTGCATCACTTCCGTCACTTGTTATATAATTTATGTATGTTCTTCTGCAAATTCGATGGTAAAAATAACTTGTTTTGAAGTTTCGCAGTTGAAGGAAGTTAATTCGTAAGTGCACTCTACCGCGGCAACGCGGAGTGGTACTTTTGGAAAAAAGTGGTTTGTCTGGTTTTCTTTCACATTGCGAAAAAGTTCTTTCTAGTTAGTTTGCCAGCGCATTTTTCTTTGTTTCGATCCATCGTACCGGAAAAATACTAGGTGGGTCCGAAAGTTTGTGCAGTTTTTTACACTTATCCTCAAATCATTCAGAATAAAAGACAAACATTGGAAGATATGTTCAATGCAAAATTTTTTCCTCTTTCCAGCAGTATTGCTTTTGTTCGGATTCGTTTGATAGAAATAGGAGCAGAAATAAAAGTACACAAAACTGTACAATGTGGTATTATATTACCCTAATTTCACGCGTATATGGCGCACTTTTTCGAATTTTCAAGCGAGCCGCTCAGTCGCTTCACAGTATTTCGGAAAGAAATCTTACATCGCACGATTCTCTCAAGCAATATACAGCACGTTATAGGGTCCTTTGGTTGTAAAGTCCTTTGGCGTGTCTGGGCTGGTCGATTTTGGAAAAAAATCCCCCGCGCCTTATACGCGTGAAATTAGGGTATTGTGTTCAAAATCATTTTGTAAAAGAAGTACCCTAGCTCCGTTTCGTTCTCGCCCTTAGACAGTGTAGGGGTATGTTCGCTTGAAAAATCGTCAGGCAGCTCCTTCTCCTCTTTTTGAAGGAGGTTTTTCTTTCTCGTACAACCTCAAGGAGAAAATTGCCATACTTCTAGTTTTTCGATCCGTCCCAGGCTGCACCCGAAAATTTCAAAATCAGTATTTTGGGGCGGTAGAAACTCATTTGTTTTTAAGATTATTATTTAGTGATAATCGTGGAAGTTGTAGTATTTCTAATTTTTGGAGATTTCATAATGTTTGGAGCACTTGTATATTTTACGACTTCGCAAATGTGAAGACTTTTGAAAAACTTGCTTTAAAAAATACTGAAAAGCCAGCTATCGATGCCAGAAAATTGGGTTTTGTAGCATCTTGCTTACTCATGCAACTTTTATCCAAGCTTTTCCAAGTCTAAAACGAAAACTTCAAAAAGGAGCTAAATTAAGGGTACTTTGGTGGGAACCAAGTGTCGTAGGCGATAGTGGTGTCGATAATAATTTATCCACAGACGAACCCGGTGTGAACCGGGGGAGCAACCTATAATACAATCGGGGGCTCCTTATATAGGTAGTAAGGCGGAGCTGACCCGTGCACAATCAGAATGTTCAGGAAATATGTGCAAGAAAGAGGATGCCGCAGCTTGACGCGGCCCCTGGAAGATAGGTGCCACTCATTGGTGAGTGATTCGGCACTTAAATATAAGCGATTGGGGAATGTAGCCTATGGGGAATACCCGTAAGCTATTAGGATTATAGAATTGTGAGGTTGATGATACATAAATCATCAACACTCCGGGCGAGCAAGGAGGAGGCGAAATCTGTTGAAATGTAAATCAATAAATACAATCAAACCTCCTAAAAGCATTTGTACTTAGAAATTGAGATATAGCTGTGTTCACGAGTGTAAGCTATTAGAATGGTTGTCGAGGTTGATGATTCATAGATCATCAACACTCCTTGCGAGCAAGCAAGAAGTTAATTTGGTAAGCACAAGATACAACTAATGCATAGATTTGTATAGACTTAGACATACTTATGGGAGCTACAGACAGAAGAGAATTTACGGTGAACAACTGTAGTGGTTGGTGGTTGCTGTTCCGTGGTGTAGCTTCGCCTTTCGTCGTCGTCTCTTCTTCCTCGTCGGTTCTGCCCTCGTCGATTTTGAGTTGACAGAATCGTTATCGGTGAATGTCTTCGTGATAGTCGGCGTTTTCGTGATCAGATGGTTGTGATGTGTGATCTTGGGCATGTCCGTCATCTTTATCTTAGCTTGTGTCGTCGGTTGAAGAGTTCTGGCAAGAGTTCCATTCGCACTCCTCGTGTTGGGGCTGGAACTGGAGCCTAATATGCAGCGAACTTTGGCCAGCCATCGTTGTCTGTCTGCCTTAGCTTCGCGATTAGCAGCAGTTGTCCTTGTTTTCTTCTTTTTTGATAACGACTTCGCGATCTTCTGAGATGTTACTTCAGTATGCGCTTGGAAGATTCTCCTGTTGATTCCAGCTGTAGCGTTTTGATTGAAGACGGTGAACGTCTTCTTTGTCGTAAGCCATTTGGGGCGTCGCTGCGGGTGAGAAGCGAGTTTGGAGGCTTCCTGCATCATGGATGTACAACCAAAAGTGCCGACGATCTCCGTGACGTTGGTACGGCTTGTACCAGATATGACATATCCAAAGATGGTCGGGGTCAATATGAGCCCGGAGGGAAGCTTGAGCACTGTTTCGGTGTGAACAGTGACGAGGTTCAGAAGATCTTGTCCAATAATGAGTTCAGGCAAGACGCTTTTATGAGTGAGCGTATCTTGAGCTATCTTCAAGTTCTTATTGGAAATGAACTGAACATCTGCATCTGTGAGATGTGCTGTATGTAAGTTGGCAGTCAACTTCTCTTTCGTGTGCACTGATATCTTCTTAAGCTTCTTTGCGTTGTGAAAGCTTTTCAAAGTAATTTGCACTTCATTGGAACTGAATGTCTCTTTCAATTCTCCCATTCCTGATGTGGTGAATGACGTCGTTTGGATGACTGGCAGCTTAAGCTCATCACCAAATTTTGATTTGATGAAGCTTCGCTGGGCGCCAGAGTCAATCAGTATTGTTATGGGTTGATAATCCCAAATTGCCTCGTTGAATATCATGGCTGAAGCCGTTTGAGATACGCTTTGGCATACGATTGGCAGTTTGGTTGAGCTGTAGACTTTTTGTCCATTTCGCCGTGGAACGGGTACTTCACTTGTTTTGCGATGATCGAAGTTGGTTCTTTGCCGTATCTTAGAGACTTGCAAGTGATGAGTGCTAGCAGGAAACTGAGACTGCTCGAGATACTCTTCCTCCTCTTTCCATTTCGGACTTTCAGTACTTGTGTCCAGATGGTTGCTTTTTTGAATGTTGCTTGGAAGAAGTGTCTCCATTGTTAATGCGGTCGTTTCCCGAAGAGAGATGATGTCATCTATCGCGTCTAGGATCTCCGAAACATCAAAGTGGTCGCCAACTACGGTTTCCTTCTGTATGACGGTTGCGCAGATGGCTTCAGGAAATTTCGACAAGATTAGTCGGCGCCAGATTCTGTCTGCGCTCATCTTCATTCCGGTTTGTTCTAGGTGAATGATCCGCGAATTGATTGCTTCGAAAGTTTCTCGGCAACTTTCGGGATTGTCTTTTGCTCCTTGAAGTCGTTCGATTTCATTGATGAGTATATCTGCCATGCTGGCAGAGCGATCAAAGTGCTTCTTCAGGATGTCTACGGCTGTCTTGTATTTGTTTCCAACGACAGGGATGCAGTTCAAAGCAGCAGCTGCTTTTCCTTTGAGCGCTTGCTTTAGAAAAAGGAATTTGTCGCCGTCCGATAAGTCTTCGTCGCAGTGAATAAGTGAATCGAACACTGTCCAAAAACTGTTGAACTCTCTGAAGTTGCCAGAGAATGTAGGAACCTCTAGGAGCGGTTTCCGGATCCTGATCTGGCGTTCACTTCGTTCCGTTGTTGAGCCTCTTCCTATCTCGCTGTCTCGCTGA